AAGCTAAAGGGTAAGCTTATTGACTCTGCTCGGTAGTTTGTTAGTTTTTAAACTATCAGACTAGACCGACTGCAAGCCCTGATTCTCTGGAACTGTTTTGGGCATGGTACCATGCGGGTAGTCGGTCAAAATTAAGACTTCCAGGAACTTCCTGAACCCTTGAACTCATCTGGGTGATTTTTGAATATGTTGGCTACCCAGATCAGGGCTATCAGGGGATGTAACTTTTGTGGGGGGTTTTATGTATTTTTAGGGTACTTTTGGGATGGTTGGGGAAAATGTATGTTTTTTCTGTGGTTAGAGATAATCGGATTAGATTAGTACGGTTCCTGATCCAATTATCTCCCAGGCACAGAGCAGGTATTATCTTATTTTGTATGGGAGTGTCCTGGACCTGAGAGCCAATGTGATTGTGTAATTATTTCTACTGTGGTTTACTCTCAGGTCCAGGGGGGAGTGCCCCTTGCATGGGGACTGTCATAAAAGGCCAGATGTGGCTACCATTAAACTGAGATTCGTTTTACCTTTCATGAAGTCTAGGCTCATGTTTGGGGGATTGGAGAGCTATATTCACACTCTGGGGATTGCTATAATCACTACACTCCCTTGGATCACAACACTTGCTATTATAAGAGCAACCTGCTTCACTCTCTGGACTAGGAGAGGTCTACTCACTGGAAGCAGGATCCTGGTCTTGGGTCCAGGGTGGGTGGAGGACAGCAAGATCCCAACCAAAGCTGCGTCGGTTTGTGGGGTTTACGGTGGTTTTGGTGTTCCAGTGCAGTGCTTATGGTGCTCGCAAGTACTAGGAAGCAGCGATTGATGGAAGTAACTGGTTGGGGTGCCAGGCGCTCCGTCACAGTGAGGTCTCACCAGTGTTCTGTACAATGGCATGAGCACTTTCCTCTTTCTACTGCTAATACCTCTCCCTATACAACCAAGCATTCTGCTAGCATTTCCTGCTGCTCTCATTGTCTGTCTACCTTTTTTCTCACAGGAGACTAGGCAGAAGAATTGTCAGGAATAGATCAATTAAATTCCTGGACCTCAATCAGCATCAATGAAGATCTTACCTTATTAATTAAACTTTATAAGAAGACAACAGCAACCAACAGTTTTTTCATACTTGGGGCAGCTTTCATTTACATTGCCTAAAGTGTGGCACCCCCCTAGTGTACTAATATGACTACAAATATCTAAGCCCAGATAGCTCAATATCTAATGTCTCTCAATATAAGGAGTTGCTGTTATCCTTGAAGACGTATCCTCTGTTAAATTGTGATATAAATGTGTATGATATCAATCTTAGTACTCTTTATAGGGATTCACTTTTTATTAGACATGTGCATTTGTTATCGGACGAATATTCAGACGTTTTCATATTCGTTTACTATAACATAAACTAAAGTCCTACATACAAATTATATACAAAACA